CGAACCGAACCGTGAATTTTGTGTATCGTTGCATCCCTACCCACAATTACATAATGAGATTACGACTGGTTCTTTGTACAGTGATTCTTTCATCTGTCTACATAAATCTTTTTTTAATTTAACATCTGTGTTGCAGAACTAGTTGTGCAGCAGTACAGAACCAGAGCCCTGCCTCACCGGGCCGATGTGGACCATGACGCCTCAGAGGATGTTACCTTAAATGTGGACCGGAGTGTAGATGAAGATTACAGTAGGGAATCATCAGAGCTGGCACAGTAACCTGCAGGAAGGAGGCTACCTGTTAAATTCTGCTGTCTTTAAGTCTGCTGCTGCTGCCTGGGAATGCAAAAACGGGAGTTTTCAATCGCTTGTCTGTTACTTGTTGCTGTTTCCTAGAATGCTTGCTCTCCAGTTTTCAACATACTGATAGTTCAAGAACCACACTGGTAGTTTAGTTTAGTCATTTTTGTTACAGAAACCTCAGGATATTCCTCGCACCATTTTGTCATCTTGCTATTTTCTTACCCTGAAGTTATGCTCAAGTATTAAAGACTGTATTAAAAATCTGCCTCATAATTTTTTGCAACGATTTGGTCAACATTTGTTGCTTTTAAATCATTTGACTTGACACAGAGACACAGAGTGCATTATTCTACCCCGTGCTATGTTTTTATCAGTGTTGGTGACTGTGACTAAACAAAATGGTTAAAATGCTGCAACTGTTACTGGGTACAAATAAAATTGGCTCATCTTTTTTTAGGATACTCCCAAAGACACGCAGTTAGATGTTACATTGATTTTTAGCAATTCCAACTGCCAAAAACATGATTTTTGTAAAGAATAAAATATAGTATCTAATAAAAGGAATATAGTGGCGTATAACAAAAGACCACAAAGCCAAACTCAGCTTCAATCCCAGGAAATCAACTGGACACCAGCTCAGTGCAACACCACATCAGATGACGGGTCAGCTGGTAAAGTCTACACTCCCAACCAGCTAATCTCATACAGGATGCAGGATTTGAGCAAACCACTTTGCAACCCACCTCCACCCAGCCCAATATCATAAATGCCTGCTTTGTTTTCCCAAATATAATTTTTGTGATTGTCAATAAATATAGTCCTGACTGAGCTATACTTAAGCACAAATTCAATGAACTTGCAGCTTACGCATGCATTGCCATAATATGCTCTTGTGTACTTTGCATTTGTAAAAATTCTTAAATGATAGAATAAGATACATTAATCCATGCAACATAGTACAACATTAAAATACTATTGTTTTAATGCATATGCATTCAGTGATTATAATGAGAGTATGTTATTGCAATAGATTCACAGTGACTTTTGCTGCATTGAGCGCTTTTACTTTTTACTGTTCTTCAAACACAAATGCATTAAAAACAATGTAAGGATTCATAATATTTGCCCCACTTTTTCTTTCATTAGTATAAAAAAACAAGTTTTTGAACATTGTTCTCTAATTTCTCAGATTTTTTTTTAACCAAACTAAGTTTGATCATGAGATATGGTGGAAAGGCTGATTTTTGTTTTTCTTGCCTTTTTGTTGCTTCACAGTGATTCATTGAGACTGGGCTCACAGTTAAAGATTACTAGTTAACTCAAGGACATATTTAATGCCAGCTAAAACTTTTATCACTGTTGTGTTTAACTTGAATACATTAATGAATTAGATGCCTTTTTGTGGAAATATTCATACACAAGTTCATTATTTTCTGAAAAGCATGTTTTTCTCTGAAGTGAGTAAAGTATTTTGTGCCCCTGTACAGAGCAGTGAAGGTCTTTGTTATATAATCTGATATGCCTGTCTCTCCTCCCCTCTGTCAGTGGTGTGATTTCAAGGCTCTGCTCCTCACTGTCTGAATACCACCTCTGTACTATATAGCGTCATGATGAAATCTGTCTTCCTATTGGTGCTTCGGGCCCCGTGTCACCTTTCACCTCAGTGGGAAGCCAAGCCCCTTTTGAGATTTGTGTGTAGAGTGAATGAGGCAAGGCTGTCACTGCCTTAACTGTGTGGACTCTGGTCTGTGGGAGGAGAGGGAGGCTCTGACTGACTAATTTGTCACGTTAAACATGGACGAGACCTTGGTGAGAAAAAAATGAGCTTTATTTCTCCTTTCAGTTATTGAATGTAAACTGTTTCTCTGTCTTAACTGTTGTGCAAGTCGCTGGGCGTGCTACAAACGGCTGAATGTGAACGCACAAATGCAGCGTGTTCACACTTTGATCTTTGTCCTGCAGGTGATCCCTGGATTGGTGGCTGTCTTTGTGTTGGTAGGAACAGTTTTCTACTTCCTGCTAGGTTCTTCAGGTGAGAAGACGAAGAAGCTGCCCGTCACTCTCCAAGATCCCACAGTGAAATATCCTCTCCCACTTATACGCAAAGAGGTGGGCTGCATACAAACTCCAGTGTGTGTTTAGACCTGCATCTGTTTATGATGAATAAGCATGTAAATTTTTAAATGACTGCAAAAAAACCCCAAGATTTGCACATTTGTAGTCACAAGATTTCTCTTCAGTAATCTTTGAAATTCACTCATGTTGACCCTAAAAAAGAACAGTTCAGAGCCCGTGTAAATCCTTTCACACACCACATTTTAAACATTAAGGTCTGTTGCGTTGCATTGTGGGCAATGTAGGACTCATTCTTTCATCAAAAATTCCCATCATAAGAAAGTATTATTGGGGGTGCAGTGATAGATTTGCTGCTCTCACTGAGTTTGCTGTTAACAGCTCTGTTTTTGTGCAGTGCACCGGTTTGCAGGCCTGGAACGGTCTTTATGTTTTAAATACCCTCAAGATGCAGTTACATAATAGGACAAATATCTGTTAATGTATTGCATAAACATAAAGCTTCAAACTGAAGCCATGGGAGATTTATTTAGCCAGCCCAGAAGGATAATATTATATGTATTTTCTCTTTTTATGGTACTGTGGCTGTGTCCTTGTGCAGGAAATCAGTCATGACACAAAGAAATTTCGGTTTGGCCTTCCATCTGCAAGTCACATCCTTGGGCTGCCAGTAGGTACTGTACCAGCTCTTTTCTTTCTCTCTTCTGATAAAATCCTAGTAGAAAAAGCAAGCATGCAGATTTTCTTATCTGAGAACTCAGCACTTTTAGCACTTCCTCATACTTATGCTGCGGTATAACCAGACAAAAAAACAAGAAGGCAAGCTCACTTGCCGATTACACCGGTTAAACATCAAAAATAAAAAATTATTGGACTTTGATTAGAATAGATAAGTATTAGCACTTGACAGTGATGCTCACGATTCCTTGCTGCAGCCGTAGAACTGCCCTCATTTCCTGTATCAACATTTTCCCCACCGTCCTGTTTCACTTTAACCCAACACTACACCAAACCTGCCACTTCTCTTCCCCGTCTCTGTCCGCTGTGCAGGCCAGCACGTGTACCTGTCAGCAAAGGTGAACGGCGTTCTGGCGGTTAGAGCCTACACTCCAGTCTCCAGTGATGAGCACCAAGGATATGTTGACCTCGTGGTTAAGGTGGTTAACCTTAACATGTTCACATTTGATCTGTAGAGCAATTATTAAGAAATTTGGTAAAGATCTGAGTGTCTGTATTGCATCCTGAGCTACTATCGTCAGTGAGATTATCAGTTGGACAGTCAGTCATTGCTTAATAAACACTTTTATCACTTTTATTACACTATAAGCCATTTGTACAAAGCCCTAGAAACTGATGAAAGGCCATGAGTTTGTTTTTAATAGGCAACCAAGTCTGAAGCTATAATACCTTAAAAAAACTGAGGCTGTTGGAGCAGGAGCGTAAGTTCCAGGGGGGTTAGGGGGGTTATGACCCCTCCAATAATCAGAC